CTGCTTCAAACGATACCACACACTGCTCCATTTTTTAACATTTGCCGTTCCTTTTTTAAATTTTTATTTTTTTGTTACGTTTACCCTATGTATGGGGGGTTATGGGTGTACTCAGGAGGCCTTGCAGAAAACAACCTGGAGTGTTTTCTTGCAATAACCAACAGGCTCTCCCAAATCACAGTCTAAAAGCAATGTGTGTGTAAAAATGAAAATTGAAAAATTACCAACACATATTTTCTCCAATTTTTTGACTAAAACGATTGCATCCAAGACATCAAAACACTCCATATACAATACCGTAGGGTGTCAACTTTTCAAATATATGCACGCTCATGGCAAGAAAATAAACTGGGATATCTAAAAAGGCCCCCAAAAAGAAGATAGGCAAAGAACATATGTAAAACTTGAAAAACACACGTCAGAGGTTTGGCATTGCACCCCCCCAAACATCCCAACAAACCTATGCATAGGTGGTATCACTGTATTCAGGAGATGTTGCTGAACACATATTTGGGGTGTTCTTTGGCAGTAACACATAACAGGAGCTGAGAATCCGTGCCTAAAGCAGAATGTGTGTGAAAAATAACACAAAAAATTGACTACCCAAACGTTTGACAAAGACTGGTTGTAGAATTAGTGCATGGAAAGTGTTAAAATACCACCATTTGAAACACCCTAGGGTGTCTACTTTTAAAAAAAAATATATGGTTTGATGGGGGTTAATTACATTGGCCAACTTCAAAAATGTCCTAAATAGGACATAGGTGCATGATGAACAGCTGTGAAAATTCCAAGTTGGAAAACTGGAATGCGCACCCTCCAAATATGGTCTTTTAGCCTCCAGAGAACATGACACACATGTACACGGTTGGTATCACTGTATTCAGGAGTTGTTGCTGAACACATATAGTGTTCTTTGGCAGTAACCCTTAAAGTTCACAGTACATGTATTCTTCAACTGCCATGTGTGTTAAAAAAATCAATAATTTTTTTTTTTTTTTTTTTGGCATAGATTGGTGGTAAAATGGTTGCATGGAAAGAATCAAAATAACACAAGTTTAATAACCTTAGGTTGTCTTCTTTTAATAAAATATATACACGTGAAGGGTTATTTAGGGATTCCTAACAGATATCAGTGTTACAATGTAACATATTGCCCTATAACTTGCAAAAAAAAGCTAAGAACATGTTAACATTAGGTATTTCTAAAATCAGGACAAATTTTAGAAACTACGTAGCATGGGTTTTTTTTTTTTGGCAGAGGTAGATGCGCAACAGATTTTGGGGGTCAAAGTAGAAAAAGTGTGGTTTTTGTTTTTTACATTATTTTTCATCATATTTTATAAAATTTGTATAGTAAATTATATGATATGATGAAAATAATGGTATCTTTAAAAAGACCATTTAATGGCAAGAAAAACGGTATATAATATGTGTGGGTACAGTAAATGAGTAAGAGGAAAATTACAGCTGAACAGAAACACCACAGAAATGTAAAAAGAGCCCTAGTCCTTAACAGTAAGACAATTAAAAAATGATCTGGTCACTAATGGGTTAAGTAGTCATTCATATTCCATAAAATCAGATTGTTATACCAGCATAAATAAAAAGGGGATAATTCAGTTCTACGCTTCTTAATAACATGCCAGAAGAGACCAACTCATACATACAGGGGAGCTCAGCCCATGTCATGTTCATGGCTTATTTGTTCAGGTCCTACTATTAGTTCAGGGTCTACTATTAAAGGGATACTATAAGCACCAAAGCAACTTCAGCCTAATGGATGGTTTTAGTGTATAGATCACAACCTTGTAGTCTAACTCTATCATTTAGGAGTTGGAAGCTAAATCAATGTTTATACAGCCCAGTCACACCTTACCTTCCTGTGACCTACAGTTTCCCTACACATGTCCTGTAAAGAAATATTTAATGTTTAAACATCGCTTATTGCACATTCTGTTTAATTTATAATTTCTTGTCTCCTGCTCTAATAGCCTTCTAGACCTTGCAGGAGCCTCCTGTGTGATTAAAGTTCAATTTACAGAGCAGATTTAACATCTGACTGAAAATGAAACAATTTTTTCATACAGGCTGTGTGTTTGTATTTGTCTTTGGGGTGTAATGTGTGTCTATAGGGTGTGTGCTTCTATGGCAGAGGTAGGCAACCTATTAGTAGTACTGTGTCAAAAAGGATCTTGATGTCCCTTTGCATGCTGGCCCTATTTTTTTAAAATTGAGGTGTGTATGTTGTAATATTGTGCTTGTATTATTTATGGGTGCTGCAGTTGCTTTGTAACATTTTAATTGTGTGTATGTGGGCTGTTATATTGCATATGTTCATGAGTAGATTGTGGAATTTGGTATGATACCTATTAATGTGGGCTGCTTGTGGAATTGTGTGTTTGGTGATGTGTGGATGTGTGAGGCTGCTTGTGGTGTTGCTTGTGAAAGGCTGTCTGTGAAGTTGTGTGCCTGTATGTGTATTGTCAGTACTGTAGTGTTGGGTTTGTGTGTGAGCTGTTTGTATTATTTGTATAAGGGGGAGGCTTCTTCTGCAGCTCTGTGCATATATAGCATTGTGGGCAATTTCCCAATGGGTCCATTGAGGACTGGGATGGCCAGGTACAGGTCAAGGGCAGGAGCTGCAATAGTAGCCACTGCCGGCTGCTCTTCTCCAGTGTGGATTCCCATCCACAAGTGCTGGGAGGAAGTGATCTGAGTAAATTGTGCTGCAATGCGTAAATAGAGGATTGTACCTCACCACCTGTAATCACAGCTCTGGCTGCACTAGCAGATATTGGAAATCTCAGTGGGACTTCTGAGAGACAAGAGCCTGTTTTATTCTGGCAGCCTTGAGTGCTGTGCATGCCACACTTGCCATAAGTTGCTGACCCTTGCTCTATACACTAAAATGACTTTATTAAACTAAAGTTGTTTTGGTGCTTAAAGTATCCCTGTAATATGGAGATCTACAAAGTCACCTTGAAAGACATATGTGTAGAAATTTGGTACGATAGTATTGGGTACGATATAACAAATGTATGTATCTAGATTTCAGTGTATATAGAGTATGCCCAGGGGTCTCCTTGCACCAGAACAACTTTATATAGTAAAGTTGTTATGGTGGCCAGAGTGTTCCTTTAAGTGCACTCACTTATATATAATTTTGTTCATGAGAAACAGGGCTTTATTTAACATCAAACATTTATATATGAAACATAATTTAATATAAATAAAATCGAAAAAAGTGTGAAAAATTAAGACAAATTGCTTTTTTTACACTTGTTTTTAACATTTTAGATAATTGATCTCTTTGCCTATTTCATCTCAGAACAAAGTGAGGGAAGAAAGGGGCACAGAGCAATGTACAAGGAATATTGTAACAGTGATCACGGTGACAGGCTGTCACCACGATCACGTGACACAGATCACCAGCATTGGCTGCAGGGGGACTTCCTGGGTTGCCAGGCAGGACTCAAGATCTTGATTGACATGGTGGCTAAGTAGGGACTCTTTTTGTAGCACAGCATACCCTAATAGTTGAAAGGGGTCAACAGCAAGAGCACTCAGGTCTGAGAAATATTTAGACAATTCTATGGAATAAAAAACATACAGTTATTTACTCAACTCTGAATTTTAGCAAATGAAGGCATGATTTAATGAGCTTTCCAAGTGATTCAATACCGTTAGAAAAACTTTCCACATTATTTACCTACAGCAAATTCCCATAGACTGTAATGGTGACATATGTAGTCTGTAGAAAAATATTTTGAAAGAGTTTCCAACAGTTTTGAATCATATGGAAAGCTTATTACACCAAGGCCTAAAATAGATAGTGAGGGTAAAATAGCTGTTTTGGAAAGAAGTACCCAACTGAGCTATAGTCATAGCTTGGTAAATTTTGTTGAACAGGGCTATTCATTAATGTTAGAACTTACTCCTTGGTGATCACCAGACCTTTGCCACAGACTTCAAAGTACAGTTCTATCCAGACTGTGCAACACCCCAAGTACTTGGAGAAACTCTTGAGAGACATACATGGGTGTCAGTTTAGAAAATGTATGCTGATTATTAAACAGAACAAATGTTTTAAAGCAAGTAATACATGTCTAGGGAGGAATATCATTAATTACCAATCAAATATTAACAATTATTAACTAACCGCATGGACATCTTGTGCATACAACATGGTGAAATCATATAACAAATCATAGCTCTAACATTTATCTAGGGGGATGTAATAGGTGTGATCTTGTTAGAATACAAGGGTATATTGGTAGGCTCTTCTTAGATGATAGGAGGCAAAGATGGTCATGTGCCAAGACTACGTATGTGGTGATCTTGTATTGTCATCAGCAAAACAATGTATGTGACATATTTTCAATGTACAAGATTGTTATGTTAGTCTTATGATTTCAGCTGAACAGGACTTAATCCTCTCAATCCCTCCTTTTTATTCTGAAAGAATAACTAGCCATCAGCATACTAAACATAAATCAGTAGGGGTCGGTAAGTGACCGATAAAGGTCAATGCATATTGGAGATGTGAGTATAATTGAGAAAAACCAACAGAGGTGTTGGAATGCCCTCTGGACAGATAGCAAACATGTCATCAGCCGAAACGCCCCCTGAAAACAAACATTAATTACATTAAGCACTTAAGAAAATTTGTAAAAATAATGTTTACTGTCAAGATGCCAAAGTATAATATTTTCACTTTCAGTGTACCTATTAAGAAACCAAGACCCAAAGTCCAGTCAAAGTCACTCACCAAGCCTGAGTGTTGTTTTCTCAGTCTGTCTTCGACCTCTTTCAGCTTTTCTTTGTCATGGTAAACAGCACCTGTCTCATCTGTTATGTGTGTACAGCATTGCTCACCCACTACCTTACATACCATTCCTTATGCTGCTGACAGGTAATCTAACATCATTCTGTTCTGAGAAACAAATGTCCTCATCTGTTCCTGTTCATTAAGATGCTGGCATAGTAGACCATGAATGCCCAGATGAAAACTGCAGAACAAGTCCCGCTGAAAAATGATATGTACAGACAAGTAAGCATGTGTACAGATGCAATTTCAAACAATGTAATTCATGAGCTCCCTTCTGGGAAACCTTGACTCTCATTGTTGGCAGGTGGCCAGACATTATTATGCACATCAAAAGACCTATTTGCTGTTCCCTATGGAAAGGTATCTTGAATCCTTGTCCCTTCCCAACTGTCCATCTACTAAGGTCTTTCAACTATAGTAACATCAAATTCACCATCTCCAACAAGGAGTACGACGATTCCACAGTTTGCTCTCTTTTAACTTGACCTCATTGTGAGTTATGAGCAGTCCTTGTACAGAAATAGTCCACTGTGGAGAAGCCTTTTGGCTTTTCCAGGTTTTAGACATTGCAACTGCTAATTCTGGGTCCCCACATTGATATGCTGTGCTTTGCAGTATATCACAGCCACTTCCTTGGGTAGAAGCACTGCACTTAGCATGTCCTTCATTTGGAGTCCACTCTGAATTTTTGTCTCCCGTTGCAGCGAGGAATAGTCTTTCTTTCTATAATGCCCCAACGGCATGAATAATACATATTTGAGTCTGTGTAAATATTTATCCTTTGTCTTTCTCTAAGATGTAATTCTTGTGTTAGCCCAACCAACTCTATACAAGTTGGGAGATAGGGGCTGTGCTTTGAGCATTTCCTGATCTCCACTTCCCAGCCTTTAAATGACTTCATTAGTCCACATATTCATTAGGACTGATAATAATTTCTATGATTTCTTCACAGTCCTGCTGCTTCAGGTGGAAGGGCTGCAGGATTCAAAGTAGTACACAAATCAAAAGTGAGATTAGGATTTTCCAGGAACACAGCTTCATACTGTGCTAATCTATTAGGGACTAAAATCTGTTAAAAGCTGCTCCATTCATCAGATGTAGAGATGTCGCGAACCGTCCAGGAAGTAGGAGGGTCTGGGAGGGAGGGTCTGCTGGAGATTGGCCGGGACGTGTCAGCTGACCGGAGTTCGCCGCGCCGAGATGTTCGCGGACGGTTCGCGACATCTCTAATCAGATGAAATATTGCATGTTTAGCAAGCACTTTAGAAACTGTCCAAGGGTAGCATGTCACATTTTTATTATTATTTATATAGCGCCAGCAAATTCCTTGCTTTTCATGCACACAGTCTAAAGACCTTGTTTTAATCCACCAAAACAGTTGTTTTCTATAGGGCAGCTTTTAAAGGTTATCTGGCTTTTCTTTTCCCACTGTATCTTGTCACATCTTTTTGTGTCTAGGTCAGATTCTAGGATTTGCCCTTTTTCAGAGTAGCTCGCAATTTTTTCAACTCTTAACAACATAAAAAATCCATTGCTACAAGTGCTAGCCCCTCACTACAGCCCCTATCCCCTAACTACTGCCTTTAACCTCTACCTACAGCACTAGGTATATTGGGCTGAGTGGTAGCTAACTTGAATCTCCCTTCCCAAAATGTATACATGTATTTCTTACACATTGCCACACACAACATTCACAGCAGCACAAACTTAGATAAATAGTAGAGTGTTGCACACATAGGACTGCGCATGGGGTGTGTTTGGGCACACCCTAATCCCTGCAGCCCGCGCATGGATCAAGGCCGTCAGGGGAGATCACAGGATCCATTGGCTGGCCCTGCTGTGTGCCTCCATGGGCCGATCTCCCTCACCGGCCTAGAGGGGCTATTTCCTAATCTGTCCCTCCCTGCCCCACACACAATCACTCCAAACAAATTCACACACACACACACACACACACACACACACACACACACACACACAGCACGCTAACAGCACCCTCTCTCACACACACAGCACACTAACAGGACCCTCACAGCACGCTACCAGCACTATCTCAGACACAGCACCCTCACACACACACACACTACCAGCACTATCACACACACACACACAGCACCCTCACACACTCACAGCACACTACCAGCACTCTCTCACACAGCATTGTATGTATGTATATATATATGTGTGTGTGTGTATACAGGACCGCCATCAGGGGGTGACAACCATGACGGCCACCCGGGCCCCACGTGGAGCAGGAAAAACTAATGTTAGAGTTTTAAAAAATATTATTAACCGTAATTGACATATTTTAAAACAAGACCATGAGCTAGATGAATTTACAGGATTTAAACCCAAATTTAGTTTTAGAGAAGCGAAAAATTTAAAACGTATTTTAACTTCAATTTATGTCGATAGGAACAAGGACGGTAACAATTTTTTAGGAGAATGGTCCAAAACTCAAGCAGGATTTTATCACTGTGGATGTTGCAATGCATGCAAAAATACCAAAGTTTTAAAAAAGAAAAATGAGGGGTTTATCGCTATGGTTACCAAGAAAGTTTTTTAAATTAAATCCGTTATTACTTGCGAAACAATGTTATATATTTAAAATTAAATTAAAATTCCCATACGGCCAGCAATATGTTGGCAGAACTTGCAGACCTTTAAAAGTACACATAAATATAAGAAATATTAAGAAGGGTTTTATCAACCATAGCGTATCTAAGCACTTTTTAGACCATCACCAGTCAGACCCGAGCGGGCTGGAGTTTTTAGGAATAGACAGAGTTACCAACCACTGGAGAGGTGGGCATAGTGTTCGTAGTTTACATAAACAAGAATTAAAATGGATTTTTGAACTGCAGACACCATCCCCAAAAGGTCTAAATATAGACTTTGATATTGGCACCTTATTATGAATTCCCCTTTTCTCCTCTCACACTTTTTGGAGTTGATTATACTAATTGCTCTTGTTGCACTATGTAGACCAATTATTGCACTTTGCACATGGATCATTCACTAAGTTGTATATTTTTTATAAATATTTTATTCAAAATATATACTGTTCAATTTGTAATAATATATATGTTTTATATAAACGTGTACGTGCCAAATAAAGCTCCTATAAAGTTTCTGAATAAATTGGTGGTTAAAACTGATAGAATCAAACAGGATAAACTAATATACTTAGACTTTAACTATATATCGGATCCCGCTCTAGATAGAAATAAAATGGTCAATAAGGAGAATAAAGGATATTTAAAACAAACTTCCTTAAGGTTCAATGAGATCATTAGTAAGGCTGGTCTTTTAGATATATGGCACCCTGTGGAAAAGGATTTCACGTGTTTTTCTTACCCTACTCTAGGATAGATTATATTTTGACAGAGATAAACACCACAAGAGTGGTTAAAAAGATATTAATTACTAACATTCCCTGGTCAGATCACAACGCACTAATTATGATCATTAAAGATGACTTTGTTAAAGCTAGCTCTAACTGGAGACTGAACTGTTAAAAAAAAATCAAAATGTGGATGTTATGAAAAAGGCTATAGATGACTATTTAGAGAAAATAAAAGTTCAGAGATATCAATGTCTACGCTTTGGTGTGCATTTAAATGCACAATTATTGGTCAAATTATAAAACTAGGATCAGAAGAAAAAAGAAAAACCCCCACAGAATTTAGCACAACTGTGTGTCAAATATGGAAAAGAGAATAAAAATAGTCCTTCAATAAAAACAAGTGAAGAATTAAAAGAAACAAGAGAGATAATTATTAATATCTTGATTCATAAATCAAATTTAGCCTTAGAAAGCTTAAAAAGAACTTGGTACCATAAAGGGAACAAGGCGGATAAATTACTAACAAACAGATTAAAATAAGAAGAAATTAAAAAAATTATCTCTAAAATAAGAAAGGGATGAAGAATTGATTCTGTCACCGGATAATATTGGCAAAGCATTTCAGGAGTATTACTCAGGATTATATAATCTACCAGAGAGAAAAGGAACTATTAGGATGTCAGATTTGTTTGTTCAATTTAAACTTCCTAAGATAACAGAGGGACAATTGACACTATTAAATGAACCCATTTCGCTAACTGAAGTGGAAGTAGCTTTTAAAAAGCTAAAGGCAAAGAAAGCGCCAGGACCGGATGGGTTCAGCAACTGCTTTTTTAGAATCATCAAACCACTTACAGATCTGTTCAACTATTTTATGATACATGGAAATATTCCTAGAGAGATGTTGAAGGCTCATATTGTGCCCATCCCAAAGCCAGATAAAAATTCCAAACTAGTAACAAATTATAGACCCATCTCGCTGTTAAATAGCGATATAAAAATGTACTAGTCAGTTTTACCGGCTAGGATCGCTATGATTATACCTACAATTATTCATCAAGATCAAGTAGGTTTTATAGCTAGCAGGTACCCAATATTTAATATAAGGAGACTGATAAATGTGGCAGATCTGGCAACAAAAAGTAATTTATCCCTCCTTGCCCTGTCATTAGATGCCGAAAAGGCATTTGACAGGGTAAGGTGGGACTTCCTTGAGAATGCATTACATAGTTTTGTATTACAGGGTAATATTATTAGTGCCATAAAGGCCCTGTATACACTTCCAACGGCCAGAATAGTAGGGAGGGGGTTTTTTCTGATTGGTTTCAGTTAACGAATGGTACAAGGCAGCGGTGCCCATTGTCCCTCCTGCTATACTTGATAACCATAGAACCCCTAGCAAATAAAATAAGAGATAAAGAATCTATAAAAGGAGTAGAGATAGTGGGAGAGTCACTAAAGCTTACAATGTATGCAGACGATGTGATACTCACGTTGACCGAACCTCTGAGATCTATGGAAAAAGTTGACACCATAGCAGAGTTCTCTATTAGTCCACAGCCCTCCCATTCAATCTGACACCAACTATTAAAGGTAAATTATCTGACAAATTTGGATTCGATTGTAATAGGAATTCTATAGAATGTATGGGTATAGAGATTACTAATGAGCCAAATAGAATGATGGAACATAATGTGTTAAAGCTCTTAAAAGAAACGGGTAAAACCTGGAAAAAATGGAAGGGAGTGGAGGCGTCTTGGTGGGGGGAGAATTAATATGATAAAGTTTTATATATATCCAAAGTGGGTCTACCTTTTCCGCATGGTGCCTCTGCACTGCCCAGAAAGTTGGCTTTCCTTGGTACAATAATTTTTAAAAAAATTTATATGGGATGGGAAACGTCCAAGGTTAAGTCTTGATCATTCAACGTTAAAAAACAAAAGTAGGGGGCCTGGGAATCCCACAGATACAACAAACGTGGAGAGTATGTAATATAGCACAGGCAATCATAACCCAATCATATTTGGCAAAAAATCAAATATGGTACAAAGCTGAGCAAAGTTTATATAACAAAGATAAAAAGGAAGAGTTATGTTCTCTTTTTTGGAATACAAATAACAAAAATA